TTTTAACTCCCGAATTGTATGATAAAACCATCCCCAAAATTATAGAGTTGACAAGTCGACAAATTTGATCCCTTCTTCTGCTTCTGCTTCTATAATTTAATTTGATGTCCAACAATATAATTTAGTGATTTTTCAATAATATAACGATCTTTATCGAAGTTGATAATTCATCAATTATGCAATTTGTTTTGCCGGAATTCTCTTGCCATATCATCTGAAAACGTTCGAGTGAGGTTCTTTTATTTTCTGTCAGCCACAACGATCCGATTGGTGATCTTATTTTTCTTCGTTTCTGATTGATTGTGTGATGCCACAGCATATGCTATACGGAGATAAATTTTAATTTTTTATTATTATGCAAATTCCTGTTCAGATCAGAAGGTCGCTTTTGGAAGAAGATTGTAATTTTGCAAAATCACGAATTAGTTCTAAATTTTAATTACTAAAATTAAATATATTTATCTTAAAATATGAGTAAGTATAGTAAGTAATTAAATCAGTAAGTAATAATAACGAAGAGCATGAAAGGAAATACACATCGAATTTATAGTGATTCGGTCGTCGTGACCTACGTCTACTATCGATTTCTTTTTCGTTGAGACCATCGACTTTCACTAATGATCTTTTTTTCAATAAGCAAAGATCAATTATCTTTCTTATAACTCTTTTCTTATTTTCACGTGAGAATCCTTATAACTCTATTTTATAAATAATCCTCACACCTTACACTTAGAAACTTGAGAAAGAAAGAACTCAATACTTTCAATAGAGTTTATATACTTTGAATTATAAGTTTTTTATGCTCTTTTCTTGCTATCGTAAGCAAGAATGAGTAAGGTATTTATAGATCGTAAGTAGCTTCAAAAATGGATCATTCATCTCTAAGTTTTTGGGGTACTGACAGTACTACCACCAGTGCTGGACGGTACCACCGCTTGTCACATTGAGCATTAGCTATACCACCTCCTACCTAGGTGGTACCATCGCTTGACACAGCCTATAAGATTGTATTCTAACGGTACTACTACTAATTTACACGATACCATCGTTGGGTTTTCCAAAAACATATACGGCATACTTTCTAGCTCACAGGCAATTCCACCGTCTAATTTAGCGATGTCATTACCTAACCCAACTTCGAGTCACTAAATTGGGCTTTCAATAGGTTCAATTCATTCTTGATTTAGGCCAAATGGGACCATGATCAAGTTGGCATTGTTACACTCAAAACCAACTATTTCGATCAAAACACAAATGATTACAAACATAAATCCTATGTTGTCTAGCATGTTATTGGTTCATCCAGCACTTCATCCGCGTTAGGATCAAGAGCACTAAGAGGGGGGGAGGGGGGTGAATTAGTGCAGCGGAAAACTTTCGACGATTAAAAACTGCGTTCGTACGATAAAATCGATTTCCGTCTTAACGCCGATTCGGAAAAATACTTAACTATGAAACACGTTCATAAATGAGCAAAAGACAATAAGCTACTGAGGAGGTATACAGTAAAGATAAGATGCTCAAAGTAAATGCAAACCGAGATTTAGAGTGGTTCGGTCAATCTTGACTTACATCCACTTTTGGCTTCCTCCACCAACGAGGTCACCGACGTCCACTAGAGGCCTTCTTTCAATAGGCGAAGGCCAACCACCCTTTTACAGTTTCACTCCTTTTGACGGGCTTAGAGACAACCCTTACAAACTTTTCTCTCCTCTCTTGAAAGATCAAAACTTGGAAGAAAAGAGGGAGGAGAACTTCTAGACTTTACAATACTTTTGAGCTCTAAAATCACATAGTAAGATTAAGTTTTCGTGCTTTTGGGTTACCCTTTCATTGCTGAAAGGGTGGGGTATTTATAGGCCCCAAACCAGTTTGAATTCCAAGCTCAAAACTGTCATCTCCCGAAATTCCGGGGTCTGACGGTTGCACCGCTTGGCAGAGCTCGGAGACTGAGCCTCTAGGCGATGCCACCACTTGTCAGGGGCGGTTGCACCGCTTGGTAGAGCTCGGAGACTGAGCCTCTAGGCGGTGCCACCGCTTGGTAGAACTCGGAGACCGAGCTCAGGCGGTTCCACCGCCTGTCAAGGGCGATTGCACTGCCCAGTCTCGCTCAGAGACCGAGCTCAGGCGGTGCCACCGCTTGCCTGAGGCGGTTGCACCGCCCAGCTTTCTTGGGAGACCATCTCCTGGGTGGTGCCACCGCCTAACAGGAATTCAGGTCCGAATGGGTTGATCCATTCGGCCCAATTTGGGTCTGTCAAGGGCCCAATTGCCCCCAGATTAAGTTAATGGGATCACCTCCCATTCCTAACTTAATCTACATGCTAACTACGACATTTCTTAAGACATTTACTGCAACTTGCTCCGGTGCGTCAATCGCTTCTTCCGGCGAACTTCCGTTGATCATCCGATGAACCCTTGGTGATGCTCCTGCGGACTTCCGGCAAACTCCTGGACTTACGATGATCCACTTGGCGAGTTCCGACGAGCTTCTTTGGCAAGCTTTTGGACTTCTCGGATTTGTTCCCGCAGAACTTCCGACGACCGTTCGGACTTCCGTCGAACTCTCGAACTCCTTAACGTGATTATAGTCTTGACTCCAGCGCAACTCCTGCTGCATGTCCATGTCTTTCTTCCATCGTAGTTAATCCTGCACACTTATCTCAACATATGGATTAGATAACAAATGATAATTGACTTCATCATCATAATCTGATATTCAACCGTCCGAACTTCCATCGCGTCATCATTTCCTTTGGTGCATTACACGATCTATCGGGACGTTGACCTTCTACAACATTCGATCTTGGCATAATGCTTGATTCTTCCGGTCCGATGCTCGATCTTTGACATTATCCACTTTAACTCATTCGATATAATATTTTTTATTATTTTTTAAAAAATAAAATAAGATTTTGTCAAAGACTAATTATGATATTATTTATCGATGAAAGTATTCATTCGTTTCATGAAACTTGACGTTATGGACTAATTACATATTATTTTTTAATTAATTATCTTTTAACTTTTCGATCTCTATATTTTATGAATTAATTATAGATTATTTTTCAAAATTAATTATCTTTAATATTTCCATCTCAAAGAGAACGTTATTATTATGAAAATAAAATATTTAATCTTATTATTTTAATATTTTTTTAATTTTTAATCTTATAAATTTATTTTTTAATTCTTATAAAAATCTTAATGTTTTACTTTCATAAATATAAAAACCTCAATATAATTTTTTAAAAATATAATAATTAAAATATTAAAACTAATTAATTATAAAAGATTATATATATATATATATATATATATATATATATATAATTACACATTCAAATGTAAATATAAATGTAAATGTTGTTGGGTTAAGATACTAATCTTTAGCAGCACTAAATTTGGCAGCAAACTGCGAGGCCATATATGTATGGCACAGAGAAACGAACGAACAGCAGCCACACGGAGAGAGAAGATAATAGGATGATACTTTCTTAACAACAAGAGAGCAGCATAGCATTTAAAGAGAACCCAAGAAGAAGAAGAAGAAGAAGAAGAAGAAGAAGAAGAAGAAGATGTCTCGAATCTCTCTCGGTCACTCCTCCCCCTCTGCGTCTTATCGTTCCAACCCACCAAGAACAAAAGTCCATCACCATCCACCCCTCCCCTTCCCCCTTACCATCTTTTATTTCCAGGAAAAGCTGCTGTGGTGGCTGCAGTCTTAGGCGTCGACGATCTCCCCGGCGTCCGACGAGGCCAGTACCAGCTCCGGCTGCACCGCCTCAGCTCCGATGGTGCCGTCGATAGCGTTGGGCCGCCCCAATGCCTTGAGCGCCAGGTGTGCCGCCTTCTGCCCTGAGATCATCATCGCCCCGAAGGTCGGCCCCTGCAACCAAACCAAACACCACCGTGAATTCCTCGTAAGGAACAAACCTTCTTCGTTTGTCTCTCAAGAAATTCACATGACGAAGAAGATCAAATCTTTTGCCACGAAATCAACAAATTTTAGGACTATGCTCTGTTTATGTTTGTTTCCCTGCAACCAAATCAAAATTAGGAAGACCTTCCCTGAGAGCTCTGTTTCTCTCGGGAAACAAATGTGATGAAAGGAACCTTGCGACGCACCCCTTAAATCTTTAC